GATTTGATTACAATAAATCCAGCATCATTTTTAGCACTTAGGCTTCATTGATCTCGTGAAATTTGTTAGCCATTTAACAAAAGGGCCACCAACTTCTTTTATATTAATCAGCAGAGTTTTGATTACAATAAATCAAGCACCATTTTTAACACATAGGCTTCATTGATCTCGTAAAAATCACTTCGTGAAATTTGTTAACCGTTTAACTTTAATCAAAGGAGCTTGTGGATTTATCATGCCCATTCCCAGTGTAAATATGGGAACATGTAATAACGTCTTGTTAAATACTGGATGATATGACGACTTTTAAGTTGTAAAACTAAAATAATGTACAGCTAAAATTATCACCTTGCTAACGTTTCAAATTACTTGGCAATATATTCTCTCTCCCCCTATATTTACATACATGCCACTCGTCATATTTATATCTACATCATCCATCAACCAAAAAGTCACCCACAAATGCAAACAAACCAAACGAGAGAGTTGAAGAACCTCTTCCGGAGTGTCTCGAACAGCTGGATACACACTCCTCTCTCCACCCCCCACCTCCCTCCAACCCTTTTTCGATGGAAAGGAGGCAAAGAACTGCTCCCCCTACGTGGAACATGAAGGATGGCACGCGAAAACACTCGCACGTGTTGTCGGCTTTTTTTCTTCCAACCTCGGAAAGGGGTGGTGTATCGGTAAAAGGAGGGAGGGCAATTAGTGGGCGAATGAATGTCAAGATTTGTGATGAATGGTAGAATGGAGTAATAAGGGGGTTTTCAGAAGTCTCTCTCTCGTCAATGGAGCTCTTGTTTCAAGTTTTCTGACTCGCCTGAGAATCTTGGTTTTGGTGGAAGATGCAGTAGGAACTAGATAATTGATGAGAATGTGGTTAATTATACTTGATTCCTCAAGGTGTCATGTACCTCTTTTCTGTTGGTGTTTTTTAATGAGGATTTAAAAGACGACTCATCCAAGAATCAAGTTGAAGATTCTTTGATTGATTTGTCACTCTACGGTCATTTTGAGCGGCCTGGTGGCCAAGTGGCTAGTGCTCTGGCCTTTGGTACAATAGGCTCCAGGTTCGAATCCTAGCGACGGCATGGATGTTTGTGAGTGGTTTGAATCCACTTTCGTGAGTGGTTCGGAATTCACCACCACCTCGTGTGCACAAAATGACCATAAAGCGACAAACCCAATCAAACTACGATAATTTTTTGCACACTTTAGGCTAATTAGACTGGGACCTACTGTTTAATGTGTATTTCGAACCACTCACAAGCATCCATGCCACCGCCACGATTCGAACCTGAACCTGTGGTACCAAAGGCCAGAATGCTAGCCAATTGGACATCAGGCCGCAGAGATCCATTGAAGTGAAATATTTGATGTTAATCGAATTAAAATTTCAATGATTCTTTAACAAATCGTATAATAAGCCTATCTGTTCCTTGGTAGTTTCTCTTTTTCGAGGTCAGACGGCCCATTTCTTCCGCACAAGTGGCATCTAACAAAACATATGCGGCTTATCATCTTACCACCGCCAAAATGTTCTATTTTCTTTTAAAAGAGTCGCCCCCTCAATAAGTAAGAGAGCATACATATTTTCACATGTCACAGCCGTCTTAATAAACTTCCAATCCATCAGTAATGCAATACGAAGACTTGTCCGCCTGTGCTTTGAAGTTTTGAAAGACAATCCCGCCAATTAAAATATCTCACAAAGATATCGTATGCATTCCAAACTGTGGCAATGGACCTATTTCCGCTGGAACTGGTAATTTTTTTATCATAACCGACTCGCATCCAGTGAGAGCTAACAAGAAACTGAGAGAGCTTCATATACACACCATTCGAAAGATACATAACATAAAAATATACGACCACAGCACATGAAATATAAAACTTTTTTTACCTTAATACAAAAAATATTTCTTAGCATCCAACTATACCACGTGGTTGACATTCTTTTTAAGCTGTCGTACTGTTTGAGTTTGAGACTCCTTCTTCTTAACGAAATTCACCCCTCCCCCGTCTCCAAATATTCTAAATTTGATAGCCATAGGGGTCGCAGCAGTAAGTTGGAAGAAAGAATTCGTTGAATCTCATGGTTCACTGTTTTTTATTGTTAAATTGGCAATGACGCCTAAGAAAAGAAAACTATTCATCAGATTAGAATTCACTCTAAACGGAGAACAGCAATACGTAGAAATATAGTAGATCTCTTCCTTTAGTGTTCTTGTTTGTTTTTCCGAAGTCGTGCAACACCGGATTATACAATGAAATGACAAAAGTCATGGGATACCTCTTAATATCGTGTCGGCCCTCCTTTCGCCCGGCGAAGTGCAGCAACTCGACGTGGCATGGACTCAACAAGTCGTTGGAAGTCTTCTGCAGGAATATTGAGCCATGCTGTCTCGATAGACGCCCATAATTGGGAAAGCGTTGATGGTGCAGGATTTTGGGCACGAACAGACCTCTCGATGATGTCCCATAAATGCTCGATGGGATTCATGTCGGGCGATCTAGGTGGCCAGATCATTCGTTGGAATTGTCCAGAATGTTCTTCAAACCAATCGCGAACAGTTGTGGCCCGGTGACATGGCGCATTGTCATCCATAAAAATCCCATCGTTGTTTGGGTACATGAAGTCCATGAATGGCTGCAAGTGATCTCCAAGTAGCTGAACATAAGCATTTCCAGTCAATGTTCGGTCCAGTCGCACCAGAGGACCAAGTCATGTCATGAAAAAACAGCCCACACCATTACGAAGCCACCACCAGCTTGAACAGTGCCTTGCTGACAGTTTGGGTCCATGGCTTCGTGGGGTCTGCGCCACACTCGAACCCTACCATCAGCTCTTACCAACTGAAATCGTGACTCATCGGACCAGGCGACGGTTTTCCATTCATCTAGGGACCAACCGATATGCTCACGTGCCCACGAGAGTCGCTGTAAGCGATGTCGTTCTGTCAGTAAAGGCACTCGAGTCGGTCTTCTGCTGGAATAGCCCAAGAAAGCCAAATTTCTCCGCACAGTTCTAACAGACAAGTCCCTTGTACGTCCCACATTGATTTCTGCGGTTATTTGAAGCAGCGTTGCTTGTCTGTTAGAATTTACGACTCTTTGCAGACGTCGCCGGTCTCGGTCGTTAAGTGCAGGCGGTCGACCACTGCGCTGTCCATGGTGGGATGTTATGCCTGAAATTTCATACTCTCGGCACACTTTTGACACAGTGGATCTGGGAATGTTGAATTCCCTAACGATTTCCGAAATGGCATGACCCATGCGTCTAGCTCCAACTAACATTCTGCTTTCAAAGCCTGTTAATTTCCGTCGTGCGGTCATCATCACGTCAAAACCTCTTCACATGAATAACTTGAACAGAAATGAAAGCACTGCGCATTTATACCTGTTCTACGCGATCTACTGCCATCTGAAAATTTGCATATTGCTATCCCATGACTTTTGTCACTTCAGTGTATATGCTATCATATATGTGTGTGTAGGTGTGGGTGTGTATCCGGCTATGTCTCCTACAATCTTCATTAAAAATGACGAAAGTGCTACTTACACCATTATCATCCAACTCCACCACATAAACAAGTCATTCCAATAAAAAAATGTTGTTTTATCAGAAATATTCCCAGACACTCCGCCTGAAATAAATCACCCCCCTTTTCTCCCCCATTGAAATTCAGAAATATCTCTTGGGGTTGAAAGATCTGGAGAGATTAAAGAGCCAACCGTCTGCGGCGGTATTTATTCGTCCTACACGTCTCTTTGCGCGGATGGGAAATCCCGAGGGCCTAAAAATAGACCGCTAATCGAGATGTCGGTTTTTGCTTCTTTTTTGCTTTATGTTGAATTGACGGAAGCAAGTCTCCCGAGTGGACAAGCTTTAAAATGAAGTGCGCCCAATGAAGGAGTGGAGTCCTCGGACAAGAGGGCTCTAAAAAGATAAATGTTGTCCTTAACTTATCCTCAAGAGAGTCTTCTGTCTTTTTATTTATTGTGTTTAGATATTTTCTTTGTATTTGTCTGAGTGTACTTGTGTCTGTGTGTGGGAGAGAGGGAGTGAGATGGCGGAAAATTGGATCAGTTAGTATCAAAAAGTATAATGGAATCGACTTAAGCATTCGCGAATCTTTTTATACAATGTTCTATTGACAATAATAAATTACTTTTAATATAAAAATACCTAGTAAACATCATTTTTATTTTTATTTCTTTTCCATAAATGTGGGCATGATCAATTCGTAATCCGTCGTTCTCACGTTGAGTTCGAGAAGAATGGGAGGATTTATGTGTGTGTGTATGTACATCTGTAGGCCTTATATATTACTTACGCATACCACGAACTGCCCACCGGACCGGTGATTGATGAGAGGAAGACAGTGCTATCTAGAAGGATTTTTAGGCGTAACTATCCCGCATTTGCGTGTCATGCAGCCCGACTATCTATTCGAGACGCTTTTGGCACATATTGCCACAATCGCCATCGATTCTCCTCTTCTGATAGCAGTAATTATAACAATGGTGATAGAGGATTTGAATTTAGACTTCTGAGCACTTTGCCACTGGGTCACGCGTCTGGCAAAGAAGAGGAATGTACCCCGAAATATCACTTCAGTAGGTGTTTATTGCCCGACTCTTGACGAGAAGGCCGAGGTTCGAATTCACTGACTGTAATTACTGTTTTGAGAAATAGGAGACTCGATAGCGATTTTGGAAATGTTTGTAAAGCGTCTCGCATCGTCTGTCACGCTTCCACTGTGGGAGTTTTCCATTTTTTTCCCGTACGACACCCAAATGCGGAGCAGTTACCTTGTACAGCCCTCCCGAAACACACTGCCCTTCTCTCAACACCCGTCGGTGGGCAATTCATCCACCGATGTTCCACTTCAACTTTCTAATTAGTAGCTCTTTTACAGGGGGTCAAGTGTGGAAAAAAGTAGATATTTATTTAAAATTGTGAAGACATCATGTATGTGCAATGCAGCAGGATTTGGCGAAGTCAAGCATCATTGGGCGCGGTCAGTACTTGGGTGGGTGACCACCTGGGAACACTGCGTGCCGTTGGCAAATTTGGGACCTGAATGGCCGAGTGTCTAGCGCTCTGGCGCTCGGTGCCACAGGTTTCGGGTTCGAAATGCCATGGATGTTTGTAATGGTTCGGAATCCACTTTAAGCCGTAGGTCCCGGTCTTCTATGACTGTAAGAGCGTCACGGAGCAAAAGTCAGGCTTCTACCTACGGGTGCTCCATCACAACAGAAGCTGCTTCCTTCCCCTTCAATCATGAGTCCATATGGGCTCGTGGGCTTGGCCAGCCAAGTGGGATAAGAAACAACAAACAACAATAATAATTATTAAATATTATTTATTATGTATCATTATATAAATAAGTTTATATTTAAAAAATATATATTATTATTTAAAGTGCAGAATAAATTAATCGTATCCCATAATAACTTTCTATAAACATTAAATATAAATTTCTCCATATCTACTTATTATATCCTTTAACTAGTAACTTCTAATGTCAATTTTTATGTTCATATTTATATATAATTATTAAATATTAATAATTAATTAGTTTTGTTTCGACGGTAAATACAATTCTCGATCAAACGACATTATTTCTCTGTTTGCGGAATATAATTAATGACATCGCTACAATAAGTATGCAAAAAATAAATAATAATAAATAAATAAACCTCTCTCAAAAAAGAAAACAAACAGCAAAGTTTCTCATCATTAATTGAATATCTCTCAAAAGGATGGCAGAAATTTGATTAAGATACTCAACCTAATTATTTAAACTGTGTTAAAATAAACAACCCTCAGTTTTGAAAGGAGCTGTAAAAAAAATAATCAATTACTCGCAAAGCAATAACACAATACGGAGAAAAGTTAATAAACATTCTCTCTCTCTATGTTTGGTATTTATTTTTATGCGTGCAAGCTTAATTGTCAAGTGTAGGAATATTTTACAAAAATTGGAATTAATGCGATTACTAAGAGAAAGACGTTTGTGTTGCATTTTTCAATAATTTCCCCAACTAATATTTTATTCAAAATAAAACTTCCATTTCTCCGCCCTCGTAACAAAACGAGGCAAATATAATTAACAGAAGAATAACTAACACTAAAAGAATGTGATTTCTCTCTGTTGATATTCTGGCGCGTTTTGAGTTAATTACGTTGTTTATTGTGATGGCAAAGACACTTTTAAAAAGTTTTCCCTTTATTTAAATTATATTTTTCTTTTTAATGAGTTCATTTAACTCTCGTTTCGTTTCGTAGAATTTTTTTTTTAAAACTGACATTTATTTATATTTTTCCTGACATTTATCAGGAATTATTCTTCTTGTTATTTAATATTTAATGTTTACGGAAATATTGTTTCTTTAATTTGTTTATTCTGATTATTATTCTATTAATTTTGTTATTATTGTTATTGTTATTATTTTAATTTGATAATTGTATTAGAAAATTTGTTTCGTTTTGTAAAACAAATGTGATTGTTTGTCCAATTGATGTATTTATTTGATTTTAAAAAAGAAACATCATTATTTACAATAACTACTGATTTGACTCGAATGAGAAAAAATAAGATAGAGAAAAGTTAAATAGCATAATGTGTTTAATTTTTTGGAAATGTAATTTCTATTCTTTTAAAAGATGCAACAATGTTTTTTTTAAATATTTTTTAAAATAATTATTAAAACACAAAAGAAAATATTAAATAATATAATATAAAATATAATGTATAATAAAATATTTTATAATGTTTATATAAATTGTGACACCAAGTACCAGAGCGCTAGTGACTCGGCCATCAGGCGCCATATTAGAACTAATAATTATTTATTATATGTTATTATATAAATAATAAGTATATATTTAAGAAAATATATATTATTTTTTAAAATGCAGAATTAAATTAATCCTATTCCATAATACATAAAACATAAATTTCTCCATATTTACTTATTATATCCTTTAACTAGTAACTTCTAATACAAATTTTTATGTTCTTATTTATATCTAATTATTAAATATTAATAATTAATTATTTTTGCTTTAATAAGAAAAAGACGGTAAATAACAAGTCTCGATCAAACGATATTATTCTCTGTTTGTGGAATATAATTAATGACATCGCTAGAATAAGAATGCAAAAAATAAATAATAAATAAATAAATAAACCTCTCTCAAAAAAGAAAACAAACAGCAAAGCTTCTCATCATTAATTGAATACCTCGCAAAAGGATGGCAGAAATTTGATTAAGATACTCAACCTAATTATTTAAACTGTATTAAAATAAACAACCCTCAGTTTGAAAGGAGCTGTGAAAAAAATAATCAATTACTCACAAAGCAATAACATAATACGGAGAAAAGTTAATAAACATTCTCTCTCTCTGTGTTTGGTATTTATTTTTATGTGTGCAACGCTTAATTGTCAAGTGTAGGAATATTTTACAAAAATTGGAATTAATGCGATTAAAGAAGAGGAAGACGTTTGTGTTGCATTTTTCAATAATTTCCCCAACTAATATTTTATTCAAAATAAAACTTCCATTTCTCCGCCCTCGTAACATAACTCAGGTAAATATAATTAACAGAGGAATAACTAACACTAAAAGAATGTGATTTCTCTCTGTTGATATTCTGGCGCGTTTTAAGTTAATTACGTTGTTTATTGTGATGGCAAAGACACTTTTAAAAAGTTTTCCCTCTATTTAAATTGTATTTTTCTTTTTAATCAGATCATTTAACTTTCGTTTCGTTTCGTAGAATTTTTTTTTTTATAAACTGACATTTATTTATATTTTTCCTGACATTTATTAAGGAATTATTGTTTTTCTTTTTGTTTTGTTATTTAATATTTAATGTTTTCGGAAATATTGTTTCTTCAATTTGTTTATTTATTTTGAGGGTTATTCTGTTAATTTCATTATTATTGTTATTGTTATTTTAATTTGAAAATTGTGTTTGAAAATTTGTTTCGGTTTATAAAAAAAGTTGATTGTTTGTCTAATTGATTTATTTACTTGATTAAAAAAAGATAAACCCTATTTATTACAATAATTACTGATTTGACGTGAATGTGGAAAAATGGAAATTAATTTCTGTTATTTTAAAAGATGCAACAATGTTTTTTTAAATATTTTTAAAAAATAATTATCAAATAAAATATTAAATAACTTTAATAATAATATAAAGTCCATGGACACGATAACAACAACAACAAATATTAAATAATATAATATAGTATCTAATAATAAAATATTTTATAATATTTATTATTTTATATAATGAAATATTTATTTTATATTAAATTATTGAAAATTAATTTATTAAATATTTATTTAAACTTAATTTAATGATCCTAAATTTAAAAATGACATTTTACAAAATATATTTTTCTAATTATACTCTTTTAAAAAACATTTCTTTTAAATTAAACGAATATAAAATTAAATTTCATCTCTTATAAATTACACTAAATTATTATCTTTTGAAAAATAGTACCATCTTTAAAAAGTTTAAAGCCTGACTTGTGGCTAAGTGGTCACGTGCACCTCTGATGAACATTAGGGCTGATGTTCAATCCGCTGGCGGCTTTGTTGTAGATACTGCTTCAAATAACGAGGAGACTCGAGGACGTTTATGATGTTCATCATCTTACCTCGTTAGTCGGACTACTACTACACCACAATATATCACTGTGCTTAAAGCTGAGTTGCCCCCATACGGTTTGGGAATGACACACGGGACAGTGGGAGTGTTCAAGGTTTTCTCCCATACGATACGCAAATTCAGCATAGTTCCCCCTAAAAGTCCTCCCGGAAGGCACTGCTCTCCTTCAGCGACACTAGGCAAGCCGGTCTTCTACCTACTGTCTATGGGTGCTCCATTCCAACAAAAGCTCTCCCCCCTTCCATCTTTCCATGAGACCACATGGATTCATAGACTTGGTCTAACAGTTTCTGTCTACCAAGTGTGATAAAAAAAAAAAATTTTTTTTTTAAAAATAAATAATTTTTCAACCTGTTGAAAATAAATAAAAAAAAATTTAAAATCTTTTTTTTTTTTTTTTAAATTAACTATTGAAGAGGATATTATTTTTAAATTTACTTTTCAAATTACTTTTAAATATGTACACATCGTTATTAAAATAAAGAAATATTTAATTTTATATTAATAATTAAAATCTACTGAAATTTATTTTTATTGTTCAATAGATATGATTATGCTCACAAGAAATAGAAAAGTGTCATGTTCTTTTCGTACTCAAAATATTTGTTCTTTTCAGTTGTTCTTTCTTGTCCTATACATGTACTCATAAAATTCTTCAGTATCCATTTTATTCGTATATTCTTCTTTAAGTATGACTATGTCAGAATGACGAGCAGACGACATTTCAATGTTGCCACCTTTCGAAAGCGAACCGCTTTAAAAATAAACTGAGCCAGTAATAAAAAAACGTGCGATGCAACTGTCAAGTAGAGTCAGAAAAAGTATCGTCACATTTACTTCTTCTATTCCATTTTTTAAACCTCTTCATTCATTCTTTTTTATTCTTTTTTTTTATTCCTCGAAAAAAATGGCGGATGCTTGTCAACACGATAGTGGCAACCAGATAACATCTCTTTTTATCATTGACACATTTCCATTCTGTTCCTCTCTTACATTCGGTTCTTTTCTTTTTTTTTTTTATTATTGTCATTTCAGCATTTCATCTTTTTCGAGTGTTATTTCTCCGTCCCTCCCCCCTTCCCTGTTCTCTTTTAGTCGTTTGGTCTCTTGACACCGAGCACCCCTAACTAAGTGCAGAGCGAAACGAAACACTTGCACAACTCGAGTACCGATGCTTGAAAAAAAGATTTCGAAATTTTTTTTTTTTTTTTTTCTTTCTTTCCCCGCCTATCTCCCTCCCCTTGTCATGTTTTTCTAACGCTTTTCTCTGTCAAACACAGCTCTCGGTGAGATAACATGTGACAGATGTTTTAAGAACTTACCGCTCGTGTATATATGTATATAAAAAAATGAAATATAAATAACAGAAGA